CAAAATGTTGATCCCCAGGCACTTGTGACCTCCATTAATGCAGGGAGTGTGTTATTGTGTTTCTTTAAACTGTTTTCACCCAGTTTAAGTGACCTGAACACAACACACTGGCACAGTGGCCTACATTTCCTCTGACCTTGCACTGTCAAGTAAGTTAAGTCACACCCCCACCACCACAGTCTGGTTATATTCTTCAGTGGGACAGGAATTTCCAAATGTGGTGGAGCCATAGTGCAGCAGGGGGGCTGCAGATATTTTCAATGAGTGAGAGCAGTAACTCAGACAGCTGTTCTGTAAGATGTGGCTGCAATTAAGAATTGTTCGTTTAAAGATGCGACAAAAAACATGAGCTTCTCTGCCAACATTTCCTGTTGCTCAAACGTGACATTTCTTTAATTTTCAACTCAAACTAAATGATGTTTGAAACGTTCTTTAACTTTGATGGTTTTTACGCCTGCTTCGTTGGGTCTGGTCCTTCAGACGTTTCACTTTAGTCCGAATCAAATTAAGTGTGAAAGGTGCCATGGACTCAAGACCAATGGACCCTAATGTAGTCAGATGGAAAGAGGTGCTCTCACTTTGGATCGAACTGAACCATGGTTTGATTTGTTTGCTGCGTGGAAACAGTTTTTTGGAAAGTTCAGAGTTTTGGACCAAATGCAGAAAGTTGAGACAGCGTTAAACAACAGAAGAAGAAAAAGAAGCAGCTGGCAGAAATGCTGTCTTCAATTTAGATAATATAATGTTTGAACTACGTGGATGCTCAAAGTGAATTCAAACTACTGTGGAGTACAGCGCCTGAAGATGGTGACAGTAGTAACACCATAATGATATGACAGTGGCAACGACAGATGTGACAGAAAGAATCCTGTTTGATCCATTTTGATTATTTTAGGTAAGAATTTTCAAGACTTTCGGCAAAGACTAAAGTAAACAATTTGTATTTAGAGTTTAGAGCACTCTGTAATTTGCGCACTGTAATTGAGAGAGTCTTTCCCTCCCTTAGGTACAACTGGAATAATGTCTTCTCTCCATGAAACCAAAGTTTCCCCTGATGTCTGGACCCAGCTGAACGCTCAGTAAGATAGGTGTTGAAACATCCGTCTGACTTTTGTGCTGCTCTGCAGAGAATGAGTCTGAGACAAGGGTTTCTGGCTATAGAAAAGTGTATGTGTGAATAGGTAAAGAAGAGTATATATGTATATATTCAGGGATTGCCAAATTATGCCTGGCTCCATGCAAAACACACACATTTGAATATCTGACTTTGTGAGTTATAAATACGTGCAAATGATTTAAATAAATACATTTGAATCGATATTGTTTAGAAAATTTTTAACCAACTGTATATATTCAGCTTTTTAAAATCAGAGACACGTAGGGAGAATCTCTACCATATCTTTATGTTTAGTATAATGCAGAGCTTTAGGAAAGACACCACAAAAGTAATTCATCATAAAAGACTGCAGAGGCATCAAAAGCAGAAAAACCTGCAGTGGCTCGCCATTGTTCATTTGACTGAATAAAAAACATTTGATAAGTGGGATAAGACGTATGTGCCTGTGTACATGTGCGTACGTGCCTGTGTGTGAGTGTGACTTAGAAATATAATTATGGCAGAGGGTTCAGCACCTCCTGTCAGATCTGTGCCAGGTGGAAGCATTCCTACGGTTTTGGAGCACACTTCCCCTTAATTTTGTGTGTTAGAGTGATGTGTATGTTTGTGTGTGTGTGTGTGTGTCATCCCACTTAAGCACAAAAAACACATACACAAAGTGTATACACACACAGCACTGGGTTGTCTTTGTGCAATTTTCCGTGGACTCCTCTGTGACCTTTTAAAGCTCTTTAGGAAAAATGTTTCTGAGGAAGAACTAAAACCAAGATGTATAGTGGGTATTACGTGTGTGTGTGCGGGTGTGTGTATGCGTGATAGATACAGACGGACAAAGACCTCATTAGGTCTAGGAGGTGTCCTGTCTAGACAGTTTGATGACAGGACACAGAACCTCTGTTTAATGTTTCCTCCCCCTCCCTTTGCCTCCATTTCACCCAGCATGCACACACATCACCTGCTCAGTGTCCAGAGATACACAGACAGCAAGTAAAATGTAAAATGCTGCGAGTCTATGCAACTTATAAATAAAAGAATGCAAGATTTTAAATGAAAGGGCGATAACATACAACAACATGGGAAATAGTAATAAATGCCATTCAGTTGATGGTAAATGGAGTGAATGTGAATACAAGTACTACTACTAATACTACTACTTTGAATACTACGATTACTACTACTTATAATAATAATAAAGATCGACGACAACACAATTATATTAAAACATCATTTAAAATCAATGGCAAAGGAAAACGCTACAAGCAACATAAGCAATAGAACAATCAAGCAAAAGCTATACAGTACAAAGAGGATGAAGAAGACCCGCCGATGGACCGGGCAAACAAGGAGGAGAAGTCGCAATAATGCACCTTGAGATTGGTTGAAACAGCCAATAAACGGAAAGAAGAAGAAGAAGCTCCATATGGTTAAAGTATGTTTTCAGAGATGATTTATAAAAAGGAATTAAATATTCCAGTGGGTTGAGGCTCTGAGAGAAAAGGCCCCATCAGCCTTGGTCTTCAGTCTTGACTGAGGAAACTCTAACAGGGCCTTATCAGAAGATCTCAGGGTGTTTGGTGATTTAGAAGCCCAACCAAGTACTGAACCATGAAGTGCCTTGAAAGTCAACAGCAATATTTTAAAATCAATTCTAAAATGCACAGGAAGCCAATAAAGGGAAGCGAATATAAGGCAGATATGATCATGCTAATGTGATTTGTTTAAGCAAACTGCATTTTGAACCCCCTGAATCACATAAAAACTGTTGAGATGTAATAAAAGCGTAATGTTCCGGTCAAAGATAAAGGATTTTAACAGTGAGTACCACACACTGAGCTCCAGGAGGCAGGAGTGTAGTCAGGAAGCCACTCAGCCCTCTCTCTGTGTGAGTGTATGTGTGTGTATGTGTGTGTATGTGTGTGTTTGGTGGTGGTATGTGCCTCTTTGATGCTGCATCTCACTCATCACATATAGACCCGATAGCAGCAGTGGCAGCGGTGGCAGAGAGACGGGGAGATACGGACACCTCAGGGGCCTTATCACCGGGACCATCACAGTCTTTGAGGGCGCATGAAGACATAACACGTGTTAGGGTGAAAAGAATCATGGGAGGAAGAGGAAGGAGAGAGAGGAATAAGGATTGTGAAGAATTCCTTTATCAGCATTCTTTTATCTATTAAATTGTGCTCTGGTATTACACCAAACCTGCAGAATCTGTTCTGTTTGACAGTCACTTGTGTTCTGAGCAACATGTCACAAAACTTCTTCCAAATCTTGTTTTGATCATTTGAGAAATTTTACCAAAATAAGACCCAGATGATGATGCAAAAACTATGCTTGCATACTTTCCATTCCTACTCATGCCTTAACCCAAAACCCTGAAACGACTTCAGACTGTCCAAAATACAGCTGCTCAACTTTTAACTGGAACTAAGAAGTTCGATCATATTCATTTGTTTTACCCACGTTACACTAGTTACCTGTTCGTTTTAGAATTTGATTTTAAGATATTATTGATTTTCTTCAATGCACTTCATGGCCTGGCACTTTTAAATAATAATAATTATTATAATTTTAGATCTTGTAATCCCTTACGGCTCTTTAGTGTAGCTTGAGATCCTCAGGCAGAGGCCTTCTCTCTGTTCCATACACCAATAGCTTAATGGACAAACCTTTGCAGTCAGGGCCCTGAAGCTCTGGAATGACCTGCCTGGTGAAACAAGGCCATCAGAGACAGTGCCATCTTTTAAGTCAATTCTTAAAGTTCTCATTTAGTGTTATGTCAGGTAGCAAACTTCCAGTGAATTTCTAATATTGACCTCCTCATCCACCGTCTTCTTTGCTTTTTAAGGGGTGCAGTACTTCTTCATATATCAAATTCATGCTGCTGAACGTTAAAGGCCATCCCTAACCAATTTTTCCATTCTGGGCAACAGTAAAAACATGGCGGTGCAACATGGCTCATGTCCATGGAACCCACTCACGATATATAAAGTTAATTCTGACATAACACTACAGTTTTTAATTTAAGGTGGTAACACATGACATGGTTATGAGAAATATATCCCAATGTTGGGGATTTTACTTGTACTGGTAGAAGTACCTAGAATGTATTTCTACTAGAAAGCCCTTCTTGATTTTATGCAAGTTATTTTCTTATTTTGAATCAAATATTTTGTATCTTGCAGTCACTGAAAGACATACCTCAAAACTCCTAGAAATCATTTTTATTTCATCTCTACTGGTTATTTTATTTCTGTCCTTTTATTTGAAAAAATGCTATACAAAAAATATGTATGCATGTAGAAGTGTGGTGCCTATGTTAGGACATTTTACTCATCTACAAGGACAATGATGGCCATCATCATCATCATGTACCTACTTTAACCTTTTCACTGTTTAGTCAAACAGTTAATCTGATGACCTCGGTCTATTTTCAGTGTTTTCAGTTGGATCACGTCCCCGCTGGACCTGTCACTGCTTGCTGTTTCCCACTCCATCGTCAGGGGTCGTGCCTCAACTGGACATTTATTCTGCTTCAGAGGAGGACACACACCTCGATGATCCAGGACGAGTCGAGATGTAAACCCCAACTTCATGTGAGTTATTCTATATAGTCGGGTGATTGAGTTAGTATAAGTTAGTACATGAAGCACATTGTGTCCATTACAAATGCAAAGACTTAAACTTTCTTGTTTATTAGAATAGACGGGAAATATGATGTTGAAGTCGCCCCTGAAGCCAAAAGAGCTCCACCTCTGGTTAAATACGCGCGGAGGGGGCGGTTTCTGTGCGCGCACACACGTAGAGGCAAACACAGACGCACACGCGCGCACACACATATGAAGTGCAACCTGCTGATTCCTGTTAGACCGTCACACACAGCCTGCAGGAGAAGGTGGCTGTGATTGAGACCAGTTCAGCTCTCAGAAGGCGGTGCGCAAATTTGGATAATCGCTTCGCTTGGAGAGCTGTTTGCGTAAAATGGCATATTTCAAAGGAGTCGTTACTCTTTTACTGGTGAACTTCGTGTCAAACGGTGTCTTTTGACCGACTTTGGCCCGGGCGCTCTCAATACTTTCACATGGTGCACTTTATCCTGAAGCACCACGGCAGCGCGCTACGGGAACCAGAAATGAAAGCAGCACCGACCCTCCTGTGCGCATTTTACTTTAGGAAGTTTTTCAAATGGCTTGACACGCAGCTCTTTTCACGCCTCTGATCTGTGGCTGGGACGGACAACAGCGCTTTGGACGGACTTTTGTTTACCATTACTCTCATTTCGGGTTTGGATCAGTCGAGTCAGACACACTCGGGACTCCGGAGAGAGCTCTCAGCGGGGACAGCAAGGACAGCACCATGACCAGCTGCTGGCTTGCCCTGATCGGATTGTGGTGGAGCGCGTATCACTGCATGTTCCCGGTGGCGGGGAGTAATTATTCGCTGGATGGGAACAACGAGGTGCACCCGAGTTTCATCCACCGGCGGCTGCGGACGCACGAGAAGAGGGAGATGCAGAAGGAGATCCTGTCCATCCTCGGGCTGCCGCAGCGACCGAGACCGCATCTGTCGCACGGGAAGTACAACTCCGCTCCGCTTTTCATGTTGGACTTGTACAACACGATATCCAGCGACGAGAAGAGCCAAGTGGAGGGCATGCTGGAGCGGTATCAGTCCGCGCGGCCGACGCAGAGCCCTCATCTGGCCACATATCAAGAAACTGCCTTTCTGAATGACGCGGACATGGTGATGAGCTTCGTTAATTTAGGTAAGACATTATTTTCTTCTGTGAGGCGTGTTCCAGTTTCAGGCGAATTGGAAAACCTCCGTTGAGTTTGAGCTGAAATGTGAACAGGTGTTGGGAACAAGAGCGAAGTGGAAACTCCTCCTAACTTTGTCTGACAGATTTGACGAAATCATGTCAACTGTATCGGGGTATTATTATTAATGAATTTCGCATGAATAGGGCCTTATGTATATCTTGAAATGGCATAGTTTCCCCCTCTGGATCCGTGTTTACGCACACACCAGAGAACTATAGCGCTCAACAGGTCTACCATTACGCACGTGTCGTGTTGGTTCATGAAGTAGCTCATTGTGAGAGGTCAAATAACTTTCTTATCTCCTCTGTGGGTTAGAACAACTGCGAGGTTCGTTTGGTTTCCAAGTTATTTATTGTCACACGTCCTCTCTTCGCGTATTGGCACAACCCAGCCCATATATAGGAGTGCAATTCTGTGGTCACTTTTTTTGCTGCGCAATATGCTCCATGATTTATGTCTTTAGTGTGAGAAAAATAGACGTATATCCTCAGCACAAACCATCAACCACCACCGCTGGTATTTATTTGAATATAAAAGCCTGCTATTCCTGCCGCTGACCTCCATGCGTCAAGCTGCGGTTTCTGTGCGTAAAAACTCTGCGTCGCATTGTTTGCGTTTTACCCGAGGAAGTGCCGTCTTTAATTAGCTCCAGTGACGATGAAGAGCGAGACTTTAATGAGTTGGGAACATGAAAAGCAAAAAAAAAACGCCTCTTCCTTCCATTAGCAGCTCCGTGTGTTTACTGGGAGAGTCTAAACAGAGCGCCTGGAGATAAACAGAGTCAGGGGCTGCTGGACAAGGAGGCTTAAATCCAGATTGATGGTCATCCATCTTGGGAGCTGAGGCCATTGTCATGAGAACATGTGGGAATGTGTCAGTGAAGTATGAGGTCTCATGTTTCTTCTGCTCTTGAAACAGGAAGTCCTCTGATGTATTTTGCTCCTCACCTTTGTAAACCATTTTATCACTCAGTACCACATATGAGACGGAGAGTCAGGTCGGAGGGACCGTGCTTCTCCAGTTATCGGTCCTCTGGGTGTTGGTGTTGCAACATGTAGTGATGAAACCAGATATTCAGACACAAGGTGCTTCATGATTTGGCCTCAAGCATCGAATACCCTCTGTTGGCTTCCCTCTGGGGGAGTGTGATGTTGATGGTGCGGTGTTTGTGTGTCTGTGGTTTCTGTGTCAGTTTGGGGTTTATACTCCTGTGATGTTGCACATCTGGCCCTCCACTTTGATTAATCACGTCCTGTGCATCTTTTGACGATTCCCTCAGATTTCTGTGGCGGCCGGGGGGGATTAGGTTGCCATCTCTTCCAGCTGTACACGGAGTCCTAACCGCCTCCCTGCAGGAGGAATGGCTTCCTCCCCGAATGTGATTGTAATTAATGTAGGACCAGGCCAAGGCTTTCCATCTGCTTTGCGAATAAGGCCTTGTGCGACTACCGTGTGTCATCGCTGTCCAATTAGTTTTTAATGTGTCTCTTGCTCCATCGGAGCAGTTTGTGTGCAGGAACCCAGGATGTTAAGAGTAGAGTGATGCCTGAAACGCTCTTGGGTGGTCCTCCTTGTTTAGAAAGTGGCCTGAAAATGTGGATATCATGTGTGGCCGAAGTAGAAATCAGAATCAAGATAAATGAAAGGAGGCCAAACAAACTGTCTGAAACAATTGGAAAAACACTGAGTAAGATTAACCGACAGACTTAGTCATGAGAAAGCACCTTCTCTGTTTGTCAAATCGAATCAAAGTGAAGACGCCCACTCTTACTCCACTGACGATCTGGGCTAAAACAAATTCACCTGTTTACACGAGCAGATTCTCCCTACATGTTGACGCAAGAATCCCACACTTTCAAGTGACCTATAGCAAATAAAGCGATGACAGTGATTTAAGCGTTGGCCTGAGCTGATGTCTTTCACAGCCAGCTGCAGCAGTAGCACAGATAGAGAGCTCATTTTCTCAGGGTGCTCTCTCGGGACACGGACAGATTTAAGAGCCCCTGCGTTACATCCAGTCTCAAGTGCTCTCTCTCCGAACCTTGTGCCTCTTCACCCCCTCACCCCATCCCCCTATCTGCATGATTCATTTAGACCTCTTGCTCAGTCATCTGTTCTGCTTTGCTTTCATCACTTGTTCAGAATCATCCGGTGGAAAAAAAAGATCGCAGCAACAGAAACATACTTTCTAGCTCCTTTTTCATCTTCATTCCTAGAATAGCACGTTCACCTCTGCCTCGCGGACGTCCTGCTGCCCCTTTCCACAGAGGTGGAGTGTCACCGCGGTGCTGTATGACTCATGCTGTGTGACACGCTGCAGCTTCCAACATGTCCTATAATGCACAGTGGTGAACTCGAGTAATGGCAACAGTTACTGTCAACTAGAGTTTAGGACTTGTTCCCACCTGTTGTATGTAGATTTTTGTTTTCTTCGTGGCTCAAAGAGACACACTGACTTCAAGCAACTCCAATATTTTACTTTTAATATAGAAGACTGTCATTAGAGTGATACTGGACCCAAATGTGGGTGGGTCTAGATCAGACTGGGGAAATGGTGTTTATAGATATTAGATAGCATTATGTTTGGGATCTCCCTACAGCACACATTCCCTGAAGTGCCCACACACACACGGGTGTGTTGCTCTTGATCTATTGAACATTTTCTGTTATGTAATTACAAAACTTGACAACTTCAACAACAAACGTGAGCTATAAGCGTTCTAGCAAACATCACCCCTCTGTTATATTATATTCTAAAGATATGTGTCCAGTTTTAATGGCCGGAAAATGTTTGTCTCACATTGAGCTTCGCCTCCCCCACCACCTCAGTCCCCTGCTCAGTGTTTTAGTGTTTTTCAAAAATGATTAGAGCTCAGAGCTGGAGGTAAGTTGACACAGTCAGTGTCGTGTTTTAAGTCCAAGTCTGTTTTTTTACATTGAAAGAGACGTAAGTTATAGAAAAAGGGAGAGCTCATCTTTTTATCGGGAGATCTAATATGACCCAAATCGTTACCCAATATTTTTAAGGTGCATCCCAGTGGGAAACAAATCCAAGCGACCAGTGCTCTGTAAATCAATGAGCAGAGACAAATTGCTGTACAAAGCTGTACAAAAAGCTTCACTGTGAGAACTGTAATAACCAGCGGGAGAAAGTTCGCTATTCTGATCAGGTTTGGTTTTTGTGGTCGAGCTGTTAGCTTGTGGTTGCGGTGAGTGAAGGATGCACGGAAATGGTTTCGGTTTCACGGGTCACAGAACCGGATCTCCCAATGTTGTTCCTGTGTCGTCTGCATTTAACTGTGATGAGTTGGCTTCGCTATAGCTCTTTCGTGCCAGGCAGATCGACAGGTGTTCAGGGGCCTCTCAGAGGCTCAGAGCACTTATTTGCTCTTCTTTCCTTTTCTGTTTGTTTGCTGGGTTTTAGCAGAGGAAAGATCCCATAATAACCCAGGAAAATTCCTCTGTGGTTTCAGATTCATTCTTGTTTGACTTGAATAAAACTTTCATGATGAACAGGTGAGCTTCACCCTGCCCACCAAACTAACAGGCAGACAGATTTCTCTGCATTAAATCCAGATGAGTTTTATTTTATTCACACTTTGCTTCATATATGTATCACAAATCTAATTTTATCGTCTTTATTTTCCTTGGCGACTGCTGAAAAATAGCAAAAATTGTCCGTGCAATAAGCTGGAGGGTTTACCCCGCCTCTGTCCTCTCACCTCTCTGCAGTTTAGATTATGACTTACTTAGAAGGACAACAAGCAAAAATGTTTTTACTTGTCCTCACAGGCGTTTGCATCCTTCTCTCACCAATGCAAATCCTCGAACTGGACCATCAAGATTCCTCCTGGAGGACAGCACACTCTGTGGGGCGCTACATCCTTTTCTTTATTGAGCAGCCCACATGTGCATCATCAGCCCACTTTGATTATGTGCAAGCCCATACCCCGATGTACAGTGACACAGCGCTGCTCGTTCTGTGGCTAATGTCATGTGAAACTCAAAACTGAATTCTGGTGCCATTGGTTCGCTTGCGTTAGACTTGCAAAGTTCATGGGGCTGCATGAGAAGGTCCAGGGCCAATGCAGATCATTGAGGTCATTCATTTTATATTTAATTAGGAGGATGTTGGGAAATAGTGTAATGTCAGGGTCACCTCAGTTGCTATCGTGACAGCAGACATGAGCTATTAGAGGATATTTTATCTTGACCTCTCAGTTGCATTTACACCTGGAATTTTTCTCTGGCTGTGTACATTACTCATAGCACGTCATTTCAAAGCTGTTCCAGTGTCTGGTAACTTAAATCATGCCTGCCTCCTCTACCTCAAATATTGTAAAATCCTTGTATGCTTTTGTCTACTTATCTGCCACCATGACTTTCCTCATTTTCTTTTTCTCATATGGCTCTAGCTCAGCTGTCACGAGCTCTCTTACCTCAACAGTCAACCTACCTCCCACACTCTGAAGCCAAACAAGCCAGAAAGCTCTAAGAAGTGGGTTTTCAGGAGATTAGTTGGGTTCAGATGTCCCTGGGCTCGCTCTGAATTGAAGGGCCCTTTAAATGTATTTTTTTTAGTCTTATGATGCCTGGTTGCATTTCTGAGTGCCTAAGCCTGGATAAGCCCCTTCCTTTGCAGCAAAACATGTCCCAAAGCCCCGGTATGATCAAGCAATGAGCTGTGTTAAATCAAAGAGTCAATTTTTTGATGCAGGAGAGAGTTTCAGCATGAAATTTATAAAAATAAATTCACAGATCCATCTTGAAATATTTCCTGTAAAGCCTCAGCAACCAGAACAGAGGACCACCCGTCACCACACCTCAGAGTATACCATAAACAGCATTAGCCAGCAGTTTAGCCAGGAATTCAAGATATGCTGAAGCTGAGTAAAGGATCTCTTCTGGGACAGAAACTTGGAGACTCGCGACGGTGAGAAAAAAA